TATGCGTTACCCGGTTGTTTTAAACTCCAGTCAACAAAGATGTTTAGAGAAATTATGTTGGCATGACTTTGATTATCTGAAGCAATTGTGATTAAACGTTTAATTAATTAGTACAAGCCTATTTGTAATTAGATTGGGGATTGAACCATTCACCGTGATGCATTGGCTTACCAATTTTCATTAAGTGCCAGTTGCCATGATGACATTAAAACTGAGAATCTGTGCAGACCCCAACCTGAAGCACGTGTTGGTATTTTAGACCATGAGAGTTGATTCTTTATATTTGCTTGATTAAATGCGTTTTGCAGTGATCGCATAATGAGTTAATCAGTACACACATTATAATTAGAAACTACTCTGCGTGTGTCCTTTTATTCATCAGTGATAATAGATCATTTGATCCAAGCAGGAAAAGAAATGCTTAAATTACATGTATATTTGAGAAAGAAAAAAAAAATAAAACTTGCTTGCACAAGTGAGTATTTTTTGCAGTCCTATGCCCAGGTTCAATTTTAAACATTGATAGAAGCAAAAGTGCAAAAATGCAGAGTAACAAAAATATAGATTAATTGATACGATCATAATCATATCATTTAATTCCTTTCTCACTAGATTTAGTGACTAAATTTAGTGAGAAAGGGATGTCACACAGAGCAAGGAAAAGCTTTTCTCCTTACTGGTTTCTGTGTTCCTTCCAAAAAATGTTATGTCAGGGAACATCTTGGATGAAATCCTCTCTTCCAAGACAAAGATAAAACTTTAATAAGGCTCAAGGAAGGCAAAAACAGAAAATCCAGATTAGTTTTTATGCCTTTACAGTCAAAGACATGTCCTTGACAAAGAAAAAAGTACCAGGAAAGACCTTGAACATGTCTTCACTGTTTCCTCCCTGCCTTTTTTAGCTGGCTGATAATATATTTCCAATGGTTTCAGAGAGGAAACCACCGGGCTTGTGAGCATATGGACAGGAATGTTACTTGATCAGAAATATCTGCACAAACTGCTGCGGTCAGTCTGAAAAACAACCGGCGCTCCGACCGCAAGCCACTGCCATCAACACTCTTCGCCATATGCTCTCCTACCTTATAGTCCGACTGGCAATGCAGTACTTCCACATCTTGTTCCATATGACGGTGACATCAGCGTGGGCATCAGAAAAACACATACATGGCACCCAAAGGCAGTTCCATAAAAAAAATTAAAAAAAAAGTCTCAAAGTGCAGTAACTGCTCCCTAAAAGCAGCAGCAGAAGAAAAAAAAAAGTCTGTGCAAACTGCTTCCTCAACCACAAATTACACCCCACATGTTTCACTTTCCATAGACGAAGCCACAGTGAGATTCATTCTTTCACTGCTAAAAGTTGCTCTGTCTTTGCCTTTCCGAAGCCCTCCCTGACCCACTTTATATTGGGCTCAGAGTTGCAGCTCTTGCAATCTGTCTGATGACCAAGTAAGGTAAAGGACCAGTATGTAAAGAAGAAGAAGAAAAAAAAAATCATCTCTCTTCTTAACAAAAGCTCTCCACCCACACTGACCCACACACCAGCCCTCGTTCTCCCCTCTGCAGACACTCCTTGTTCCGTTCCGTTCTGTCCAATGCAATCCTTCACTCAGCTGCTTCTTGCAGGATGCTTTCTTCCCGACAGTGACGGACAGGCCCTGCATTCACTTTTCTTTTTTTTTTTTTTTTTGGTAAAAACTTTAAAAGCAAAAGACAAAGCACAATACACTTTGATTCTTCTTGTGTATGATAATACCTGGGCCTGGGTCCAACAATCACTCCATTCTCAGCAGGAAGGCCGTGCTGGGAGGGAGGGTGAACCCCAGTTCAGCAGCTGGGAGAGGCTGTTTTCAGTTAGTTCTCTGAACCTGGCTCAAACAGCACAGTCTCAGGACGCAGACAACGCTATGCTGCAGTCAAAGTAATGAGTTACACCCACTGAGTAAAATATTCCAGTTGCTTCAGAATTAGACATATAATGAGCTGCTAAGATTGGGTGGAAAAATCAAATAATTCCAGAGGACACTGAGTCATAGCTGCATGCAAAGTTAAACTTATTTATAACTACGTTGAAAAACAGCAGAAGTTCACCAAAATGTTGTATGCATAAAACGTTGATGCGTATGCAAGGAAATTGGCGCAATAAGAGAACGTAGGCACAAATAGTACAGTTTAAAATAGAATTGATCAAAGTACAGAACACGTTTTCTAAGCATAAACGTCTTAAGATTTATTAGTACACTATAAATAAGTTTTTTTTCATCCTCTTCTTTCAACACTGCACTCTGCAACTGAGCAACATAATGTGATGCACTATGCCTGCAAAAGAAACATTATGTTTATTTCACATGGTTAAGTTCCAGCATTTTGTCAAGTATGGATGCGACATAGCAAAGGCATTTAACCCCAAGTTGCCCAATCTGCATTGGTGTATAAATGTCACCCGACTCAAGTGCTTCGAGTGGTCAGTATTCATAGAAAAGTGCGTTATAAATTGAGTCCATTTTAGCATAAATAAATAAAAACAACTGCAAGGGGGGTAAGAAATGAAAATAAGATCTGCTTTTCTAAATAAAAGGTCATTTAAAGGACTGAATGTGGCTCGCAGGGTGTAAAATGCCGAGATCTGCAGTACATGGCAGAAACCAGGATAAAAATATTAGAACTCTGTTTTGAAGAGCAACACAATTTACTGGTTTTGAAAATGTTTAGTATCAACAGTATCCTAATTTAGGTTTTAATTTGTTTCTTCTTACGAATTTAATAAAAATGTAATGTTTATGCTGTGAAGCCCTTTATGACGTTGATCTGTGACAGGCGCTATATCAATACTTAGTAGTACTTGCATATTAAAGCAGGGTGTAACAAATGTTAAGGCATACATTCAAATTATGACACACACATTATGGAAGACCAAATTCACTGAACAGTTTGCTACAAGAGAAAGGAGGGAAGTAAGTAATTAATCACACGCTAATCACGAATGAAAGTTGTTTAGAAAGGTCACCTTTGCTTTGTTTGACAAGAGTTGGATACTTTTGAGCTGTTTTATATAATCTCTCTCAGTTTGTCATGGACACACACACAATAATGGCTCTGCTAACAGCTACTTAGCATGGCAAGCAGAAAAGCTTGTTAGTTGGGGATTTTGTCAAGGCATATTTAGCAACATTTACACCCTAATAAAACAATAGTTTAATTTACCTTTATGCTCTAAGGTCCACTTTGCACCCTAAGTCCCCTCGACTCTGAACAGTGTAGAATGAGCAGCTTTTTAATAAAAAGTTTATTTAGCCAATAAAGAGTCACTCTTAACATTATGCAATTATATGCTAATACAGTTAAGAAAAAATTGCAGCAGAAGAGCTATATATATATATATATATATATATATATATATATATATATATATATATATAGCCTGGATATTTGATCTTAGGTCTTGGATCAGAACCAAAAAGAAATCCTTATTGAAATAGTCTTTAATAAAACTAAGCACTAAGCAAACTAAGCACATTTAAAATTTTTAAAAAATCTTTTTTAAATTTTAAAATGAAAATAGGAAGCCATGATAGTCGAGTTCTGGTCTCGATTGCACTTGCCTTTTGGAAGTCAAGCTGAAGTGTTTTGAACAAGTTGCAATAATTTTCCCAAAGTTTTCAAGTTTGGAAAAGTTTTTTTTTTTTTTTTTTTTTTTTCCCAATAAACTTAAAAATATCAAGCAGGTTTTTCAAAAAAATTTTTAAGTTTGTTATACCAGCTTTATTTTCTTTCATGGTATGCCATTCATGATTTCAAATCATTCAGACAATCCAGTGAGTTATTCAGACTGACTGCAAAGTTCTTTTGATAAGGAGAAAAATCTGAGAATTATCAACGTAATTGTGAAATGAAAAATGATGTTTCTTCCAATTTAAACAAAAAGGGAAGACAGGGAGAAAAATTAGTACAGTAAAGCAATTATTTCAAATTCAGAGAAGCACAACACAGCCTACAGACAAGGGTTTCCCTGCAGGCTGGAGGCTAAAAATGATAAATTATTAATAAATCCTGGACACACTGCATTCTGATTGAATTTTTATGGAACGAGTTCATGAGACATCAAAACTGTGTGTGTGCGCATGTCTGTGCGTGTGTCTGTGTGTGTGTGTGTGTTTGAACAACGTGAGAACAGATTAGCATACAGACAGAAAGCAGCATCTGATTTCAAACATATTTCACACTGCGGCTCGCCTCCATTCCTGACATCAAACATCTGCATTACGGGGGAGCGCTCGCAGGAAATTTCCGCAAAGATTCACAGCTAGAAATCTTACATGTAGCAGAGAGAATTTTTTTGAGATATACAAAAGTTGAAGGCTTTGTGCAAAGCAAATCAAACTGCATCTCAGCCTGAGACTGTAGAGCAATATGTACAGAATATGGAGCACCATATTCTATTGACGCACACATGGCAATAAGCTCAGAAGGTGTGAAAATATAAGTGATGAACTTAATTTAAAAGATAAAAAGAAAAAAAAAACATAATTCTGAGCATGCGCATCTTGTGATTTTTCCTGCTACTATTTACAAATTGAAACGTTGGCAAAAGATCTCTAATTTTATTTGGTGTGATCCCATGATTTGCATGTCAGATTAAAAAAAAAAAAGAAATAATTTGATGTAACCTGCAAAGATAGAATCAAAAATGAGAAACTGAGTGGCCACCAGGTGAGAGGTCAACATAAGGAGATGGACAGAAATGCAAACTGCTGAATGCAGCGTTAGGGTTTTTTTTGAACAAAAAGTCATCAAGCCAAGAGTTTGTGGAAAAAAGCCCAAAGCAGATTCACTCAGAAACTGATAATATCCCGATGAAGTAATCGCTCTTTTGTTTTAAGTGATGTAGTGTAGGAGGCAATTTAGCACACACAGAAACAGTGACGGGCTTACAAAAAAAAAAAAAAAACATAACATGCAAGGCAAACATGACAGCCAGATGCAACCATTTTTAAACATACCTCTTGTAAAAGTTGTTGTGTGGGTGCAGACACAACACGTGCCAATAATCCAGGCAAAACGCTTTGAATTTCCACATCTTCAGTTCAGAGAATCAACAGGGTAGACGAGTATCCAACCATATTACAAGGCATCCCTGCAGCAGAATCACAGCTGGCTGTTCATAATTTTTTTATTAGGCAGAAAATCCCGAGCATGGACGTCAGCTCCGTCCTCCTCTCCAAACTCCAGCTTCGCCACTGCCGCTGGATGACAGAGGGAGAGATTTTAACCCGCCCAGAACAACCACATCAATCCTGGACGTGGTCGCAGCCTTAAGAGCCAAATAAAAATAAAAATAAAAGATCAGAAGTCCTCGTGGACTGATTTGGACTCGGTATTAATGTCTGGGATCCACCTCCCAAAATAAGCAGTACAGTGGCTGCTTTGGCTCTATTTTAAATCTTATCCAGGTCAGTCAGCGTGTCCTCTGTGGACGCCTCTCCACACGTCTCGGGATCCTGTGAGACGTAACGCTACGGTCAAAGCTTGGCGCCCCTCCAGCCGGCACTGGCACTGGAATGTGTGAAAGTCTCCTAAACTCCCTCATCCCAGTTTGAAACAACTGAATGGGGTTCCCATGCCCCTGCTCCGATCCATCTCCTCCTGCTGCAAGAACAAACTTTCCAACAGGGTTTTTTTTTTTTTCCTCTCCTGAGCTTCTAGACATCCTCACCTTGAAACCATGAACCTTTCCTCTCCTTCTCTTTCCCCTTCTCCTGCTTTTCCATGTCTTGCTCTCTCTGTCTCCCTCTCTCTGTTACAGCTACAGCCATCCACACAGGACCTCCGAGAAATGTGCCGACTCCCGTTGCCGGGCAACACTACCGTACTACTGAAGCTTCAAATGGAAGCCGAGCAGCCTGCGATTGGCTGGCCTTTAAATAGGGAGGGGCTGCTGCAATGTTGTAGGACCACATGAGTTCATGCAGGATCTTTGGTTAAATAAATGAGCTTTTAATTCTTCACTCTTTCATCATTTCATGCAAGAAATACAGGTAAAATGCAAGTCTAATGTTTATTCTTGCACGATTTTTATCCACGATTAAACTTCAAATTTTAATTACGAGGCACTTCAGAAAAACCACCATTTTAAACCTAAGCAACCTTCTTCATCAGCCACAGGTTCAGAAGTGCTGCAGCATTTAGAAGCTGCTTCACTGCCCTCTTTTCCAGCTAAAGAGGGTTTTTGCATTTGAACACGAGCAAAGTGCTGTTCTTTCTCTGCCTGGGATGCAGTGCCACGCTGCAGTGCCACTCTGACCCAGCAGCCGTGGGAAACAGGCACGGATGGGGACTGCGGGGCGGGGGTAGCTCTCATCAATATTCAGCCGCTCACAGTGTCCGCAAACACTTCGAGAATTTCATGGATTTACCCAGAGGAGGACGCACTAATACTCAAAGCGGAGAAAGACAAACATGCATCGTTACGTGTGTGTTAGAGTAATCGCTAGTTCGATCTGTTGGCTCCGACGAGTCGATCGCAGCGCGAGTCTTTCCACACAACTCCTGGCAAAAGTTGAACTTCAGCAGGGAGATGCTAAGAAATGAAATAATCTAAATGCTATTCTGCCTCAATTTAGGCGCTCTCCATACAGTCGGGACAGTAGGAATGCAGTGAACTGCTATGGTGATGATATAAAAGTAAGATTTATCTTGTCAAAGAGAAGTCTGCCTCAGGAAGAGTCATCTAGATGCTGTCAGCGGATGACTTTTAAGTGAGCTATTATTATGACCCCTGGCTATACAGAAGAGTGCTTTAAGCTCAACAGCACAAATCTATAATTACAATATAAAGCAAGTAGTTCTTGAGTTGCTCTGCCGGTTTGGTAGAGTTGGCGAATGAGGGACTTGTCAAGCTGACAAGCTACCCACCTTTTTCTTCATAAACCACAGTTTATAAGAACAGGGTTTGTGTGACAGGCATTCACACTTGTAAGCAATCTCTCGCATAGCATTTACATGTGGGAATACCAACTATAATAACTTAAATCAGATAATAAAATTGTAGCTGCGACTTCATTTTATTGCCACGCTTTGGTTCTGGTAACAGTGTCGTTAAATACACTGTTTAACGACACCTATTTAGCAGGAATAGGATGATCTTTCAGTAATATAGTGGCTGAAAAATCACTTTGAGAAACCAGGAGGTCACATCCTGAAGAGTTATTATGTATCAAAGGACTTCAGCATGTTGCTTGTTATTTCTGACACTTAAAATCAAACTTGATCTTCTTTCGACAGTACTGTTAATTATTATTACATTGATATTTCTTCTCTGGTGGGATCGCCATCACAGCACATTCATTCTATGCCCCTGTCCTCGTACCTACGGGCATAATTTTGGTTTTCCTACTTTTCCGTCATAAACTAGCTTTTACATTGTCGGGGTGACAATATAATGCTGTTCTTTTTAAAAGGTTTTATTGACTCTAGTGGGCTTTATTTGACAGTTAATTGACAGGAAAGTGCGTAATGAGAGAAAGGGGAAGACATGCGGCAAAGGTCACCAGGCCGGGAATCGAAACTGCGACGGCCGAGTTGAGGACTAAAACCTCCATATGTGGGCTGTGCTTAACCCCTGCACCACCACATCACACCAATTTAATGCTATTCTAATGTTAATACAGTATATTAACTTTACTGTTTTAAAATGAAATTTCTACCATATTAAGTGATCACAATATGAATTACAGACATTTTTGTTTCTTGATCAAAACCCAGCATCACAGACACATATGTGAGCAAAAGCTTTCATCAGCTTTTTATCAACGTCTTTAAATTTATGCACTAACCTGTTCATGAGTTGTGTTTTTCATCGACAAGTTAGCAAAAAGGACAGTACCAGCTTGCAAAATCGTGCAAACAGAAACTCAATCTAATGCAAGAAACTCTAAGGCAAGACAGCAATATTTTTGACTCACTGTGAGAAGAACAAGACATGCTAACCATTAGCCACTAATGATGCCGAGGTTGAGCTAAATTACAAATGGGTTTACAGATTCTTTAAAAGAACAGCTGGTGATTTGTGAATCTTTTACTCTGTAATGATGAAAAAATAGTAGGACTCTCAGTTTCTCAAAATGTAACTAAAACATTGCCATGTGAAACTCAATATCCTTTACTGTCTACACATTATTACTGTGCTTTATCTCTGTCTTATGACAATTTGATTAAAAAAAAACGGAAATTGCTACCTTACACTTTCACAGAATGTAATGATATGACATTGTTAAAATAAATCTCTATTGCTACCCGTATTTGTTGGAAACAAATGGGGGTATTAGTAGAATATTATTGGATTATATCTTTAAAAGAGCTGTCGTGCTGGAGATACACAAGTCATAAAACACAATTAAATCACTTATTACAAAAGAGCCTCTTTAAATTGTATGCACAAAAGCTCATAATGTCTGTCATCTGTTGTGACGATTCACTCAAGGAGAAACCTTTTAGTTCCTTTCTTTTTAATTCACGAAATTTTAACTTTAGAGGTGAGTGCAATGCTTAAGCCCTGCTTAGTCTGTCACTCAAAAGTCAGAGCAGGAACATTTTCATTCATATTGCATGAAAAGAAAAGCTAATTTTCCTTTTGAGTGAAAGAGATTAGAAAAACGTGTGTAGAGCATAGCCGGTTTTCGCTTTGGTGGTTCAAAATGGCAGGCATGCGACTTAAACTGAAAGCTGCTGGTTAATTGGACATTTTCTCCACGTCCAGCACTGCACAGATCCACCTGCACAAGTTTTGCCAGCTACAGTACCACAGGACACAAGTCAGATTACTACCAATGCTTTAACATTAGAGAAAGAAAACATGGCGGAAACCTAATGAAAAGGTGTTAAGGCAGATGGGGATCTTCCAGTCGACAGCTTGAGGTCCCGATTAAGACTTTTTTAATCGATTGGTATTTGATAAACCTTCACTAATCGTACCACTTGTAGGTCTACTGTCTGAGATTTTCGGAATAAAGATTAAAAGTATTGCACGAGGACAATATTTCAAAATACTGTGCAGTTATATAAAAAAACAACAACAGTGTATTCCAAAGGAATGTGCAACTGAGTTGGTTCGTTTAAAAATGTACAAAATGTGCATGTCTATTTGAGCATGAAATAGACTGTCAGAACAGCCTGTAGTGAAAGTTAATCATCTGACAAAGAGCTTCAGATTGTTTTTCTAAGTCAATATAAAGTAGAAATATGCAGAAAATATCAATGCCTTATTAAGATTTTCTCTAAAATCCCTCTGCATCTCACTGCAGGCGAATCGATACAAATTCTCCACGTTTCAGACATCAAAACGCTATCATGGTTGTTCAACCATCAATCTGAACAAATGACCTCCTTTGAAAAACCACCTGAATTGCTCAAAATGTCTCCTCATGCTTTGCCACTTTGCACTGCCGTATAGGGATCCGGTCTGATATTAAGGTTGAGGAGAAAAGAGAGCACACTTCCCTCTGCCAGTGTCAAAGACACTGATTATTTGCCCTGTGGATTTCACAATGGCTCACTTTGGGCAAGGCGTGTGCAGTCGATAAACACATCAATCGAAAATGGACCCCACGGCATAGGAGGAGGCGGCAGACAAGTGAAAAGAAAAATCAGAACAGAAAGCATCCCTCTCATTCCCTAAAACCCTAAAATGAATTTAAACCGGGCGGAAACGCATGTAAGATAATCCGTTTTTCCTGACTGGATAAATCCCCATTGCCAAATTCTTCCAAATTGTGTGGTAAAAGCGCATGAAAAAAATTCTTCCTTGAGTTATACAAATGTTTAATAAAGAGTCAGAGCTTACATTCATGCCTATGTGAACAGAGTCTGAAAAAATGTGTTAGAAAAGTTCACCCCCTGGTGGTAGACTACAGCAGTTTCCATGTTTTGAAAGCTGAGGAGCCAATGCGCTGATGTTGCGATGGGAGGAATGAGGAGTCTGGCGGATTTGGGGATTAGTCCCGACTGCGTTTGAACACAAAGGTACATGTGTCGTATTCTTTTCCCATTCAAACTGCACCACAGGAGCATTCAGTGAACACCAAACAGGTAGAATCACATTGTGTCGTTCCTCTAAAATTATAAGAATGAGATTTTAATAATGGAAATTTACAAATGTCAACCTCACCAAGCCCCCAGCAGGATGACACTGTTGATGTTCACAAGAGAAGCTGCAGAATATGCATGTGCACGTATGCGTGTCCTTTGCATGTTTGTTTCCCTGTGAGTACAGATGTACCAATCAGAGTGTTTCCTACTGATTCCACTTTAAAATTTCTCTGTGGACAAGCTAATCAATCTTAATATTGACTGATTTACGCTCTGTTTTTTCCTAAGAACAATGCCACATGAAAGAGAAGAACGTGCTGCATATTCTTGGGGAGCGGTAGTAAGTTTTTGATCCAGATGAACCCAGATGAAACCTTTATGTGGCTGTTAACATGTACCTGAAAGTTCATGCTGTTGGTTTGATATTTTTGAACTGAAATTGTGTGTTTTTTTAGTATTGATGCATTAAATAAATAATGTGCATCTTACTTGCTGATCACTGATCGGAGAATATCGAGGTAAAACCAGCAAATTTAAATCTGTGGCTGATTGATTTCTGCTGCATCTCTACTTGAGGTGAAATTATGACATGTCCAGAGCTTGCGCCGCATTTCGCCCAATGAAGATGGGCACCAGCCCCGCACCCAGGAACATGCAAGGGTTAAACGGGCACAGAAATTTGATAAATGGACTAA